ATGATGTCCCTTCGTGCGGTTGCACTGCTACAATATGGGCTCGTCCATTGTTCTTTGGTTGTTCTCATTTTTGTTCCCACTCGTGGCTTGGTGGTTTTCCATGCAATTTCCAGCACCCCTCACGCGTATGACGTGCCTTCTTGCAGTAGGTACTCCATAGAGTGTCTTTGTGGTCACAGTTTTGAGTATTTGGCTGGCTGGTCCTTTCATTCTCGACTGTTGGCATTTTTTCTGCATTTGTGGCTATCTTATTGCTGTTACTAGTAACTAAAGCCGAACTATCAATCCCCTTCGGTTCAAGCATCAATTCTCTTCTACTTTTTTCTCCTTGGATGAGTGCCACCACATCATTGAAACTTGGAACTTCCAGTTTGTTAAGAATCTGAATTCTAAATAAATCAAATTCTGAATTGGGTCTAACAAGAAAATCATAAACTCTATCTTGTTTTATAAACTGCTTCAAAATTGTTGCATCATCGGGATACTTGATCTTAACCCTATAATGATCAAGTTCTTGCCAAAGGGCCTTCTTTTGATTGACATATTCAGTGACAGTCCTATCTCCTTATTTTGTAGTGATCGTCTTAACTTTGACTTCGTATACTTGGGCAACATCCTTTGCCTTGGAGTACGTTTCTTGAATTACATCCCATACATTCTTGCAAGTGGCTAAGAACATACATGTGACGCTAATCTCTGGAGTCATGGAGTTCCATAGCCATGCCATGATTATCGAATCCTCCTCATCTCACGTTTCAAATCGTGGATTTTCCGGTTTTGGCTCTGTCCCTAAGATGTTGCTAATTTTTTCTTTCCCTTTTAGCACAGTCCGGACAATTTGGGACCATTTAAGATAGTTTTTTCCATTTAGCCTATATGTAACCTGAATGTTCTATAATTCCCCGGCTTGAGGTCTAACGATTTCTGCATCCTCCAACTATATCATACTTGTTATTTCTACCACCTCCGACATTCTTAATCGAACCAAGTAGTCCCAAGACAATTAAGGCTGGTTTGAGTCAAGTAAAATATTAGCGATGAAGCCTGATACAATCCAGGTACTCTCTTATAAAAGCTTCCTGGTAGTAGTGGTGGTAAGGCAGAAACACGGGGCAATTCGCAATTCCGTACAATTTCGTACAGAGTGGCAGGTCAAAAAAATTTCGGCGGCGAATCAATGGAACCTTGGTGATGAAGTAGAGTCTCAGAAAACTCCTCGACAACAAGACAAAAAAAAAAGAAAAAAAGGGAACCCTACTATGAAGGCAGAACCCTGCTATGAAAGCTAGGGTTTCAGTTCCTAGAAAAAGAGCCTAAAGCTCTGATACCATATTGTAGTTTGAGAGGGAAAATTATATTTGTTATTACAATTACAATTGATTTATATATAGAAGCTCTAGTTTATAGAAACGGAATCACATCCTACAATCTGTGGGATATTCTCATCCAATAATTTGCGGGATGTTCCCATCCCATAATCTGTGGGATATCAACCCACAAAAAGAAAGAACTAACCGAATTAATTTAATTCTAGGGAGACTAACTATTATATTTGGACTTTCCTAATTTAATCTATACATGTGTAAAACACATTCTTCCACGCTAATATTATGTTAAATAAACTGTTGTAATCTTGTTACATGTTCAAAAGAATACATATGCAAATTTATAGGGATTCTTATTTCAAGTGAACAAAAGGACTAGGAGCAGTATATGGAGAAGACCTATGCACGATACTACTGTAAAGGATAATACAAATTATACTGGAAATTATGCTCTATATTCTAACATTTTTCTCTTAGTAGTTTGTGCCATATTCTAGGAGCAAGCAACATATATTGGTATAAACCTATTCATGAAGATATATGGTTTGCTTTACTTCTTATTTCAAAAAACTGAATTGCTTTACTTATATATATTTAAACATTGATTAAATATCAAATTTTGGCAGGTTGACGTGGATGAAGAAGAAACTAAGTTTGTTGTACTAGTCTCTTACTGTGCTAATAAATGTCAATTAGCAGGTACTAGCTTTCGTAGTACTGTAGCAAGACATCTAAACGACATAATGGGTGAACTTTTTGAGGTATATAGTTTACTTGTTTGCTATTACATGTGTCTGCCATATGATCTGGAAGTAACATTTGTCTGACACTATATGCAGGTTACAGCCCCTATCAATATTATTGTTAGACTTTATGCAAGTGGCTTGTATTTCACCAGATGTGATGTTAAGCAAAAAATAAGTGACGTCATATCCTCTGGGGGGACAAAAGATGGGTCTGCAATTATAAGTTTGCTTGACGCTAAGGATGAATGGCAGGATTTAGCTGCTTTGCTGCATTTATTGGAAGATCACTGTCATATTGTTTGCAAAGATTACTGTGCACAAAAAAATATGACCTCTATGAGTTGTAGTCAGAAGAGTTTGAAGGCTTATCTGTTGTCTTACTTAGATGCACTGAAGTTCTTGTGCCAACCACTAGCTGATTTGATCAGTTCGGAGAAAAAACAGATAGTAGATGGAACTAAACTTTCCTCCGTTTCTACTCATTTCAGTGTTATGCTGGATGCATTTCATCAATTTTGTGATATCTATCTTTTTCTTCTCAAGTGAGTTAGTAGCAATTATATTTATGTTATATTCATTACTGTAGCTGTAACATATCAGTTGCTTATGATGGGAAGAAGATTATTATTTCCATGTTGCATTTTATCTCTTAACTTTTATATTATCTTTTACTTCTAGAGGCTACAGAGTCCTGATTATTTATAAATTTGATTATAGCTTTTTTTCCTAATCTTGTAGATAGACATCTCATGATAGTCTACAATTCATCTGTTTTTCCAGGCTTAATTTTGAAGTTAATTTTCTATTCTAATTTTTTTTTAATTTTATTTTCATAATGCATCAGTGGAAAAAGTCTCTAGCTGATTGTAACATCATGCCAAGTTATAGGTGACTTGAGAAATTATACTATTGCTTAATGTTGCTAACTTATTGACCTAAATTCCTGTCTTTCCTAGTTATGTGGGTCAAGCAGCTGTTTCTAAAGCACATTTTTTTCTTCTTTTTGCCAGGAATAAGTCCAAAGGGAGGCTAATTGAATTTGATGATAACAAGACAATATGTACTATTGTTGTGGCTGCATTTGTTCTCTCTATCAAAACAGAGCTTAGCATAAAGGTCGCTTTCTTGTTTTTTTAATATTAAAATGGTTTGAAGTGGACTTATTATGCATTCTTGATTTCTAGGTTTTCATATAGGTTTTAAGCTTTCATTCTGGGTAATGGGTTTGTTCTTTGTTATTTCAGAAGAGTGTGCAGCTATCTAAGCGTATTATTGTCAGTGCACAGCTTCAACCTCAAGAGCTCAAATATTTATTTACCTCTTTTTACAATATTGGTGTAGTTCTATACAGAAATAAGCAGCTGAAACAGGTACCTTTACATGGGATGTTGTGATTTCTTAACTGCAATGTCTTTCTTGTTATTTATTTGTTTGACCTATTAGGATAACTAAATTGTCCCATAACTTGGAGTCAATATCAAATTATTGGTCATTAATTTTTCTTTGTGTTCCCAGTTGTTTTATTATAACCACAACCTTGCTAGATTGTGGTTAATAGCCACTGCACAATTGTTTTATTATAAAAAGTTATAGGAGCATAGCAATGAAAGAGATGTAGTGATACTGGTTTTTGTAAAAACTTTTAACAATGACTTATGCATTCTCTTCCGAAGCAGTAGTTTTGCTGAAGTGGACTTTCAAGACTCTTGTTCACCAGATTTTAGAATTTTATACCTTTTTGAGTGTCAGACACACTCTATGAATTTTAGCTGATATTGTCAAAGGATGAGCATGACTTTCTATCAATATAACTAGTGTTTTTTCTCCCTTTTTAATGTATAAGAAGCAAATTCTAACAGTGAAATGTGCTTCCCAAATGAGAAACTAATTGTAGAATGAATTAAATTAATGTTTTTGTTTCAATTGAGGCTGCAATGTTATAGGGTGCAGAAGACTTCTTAAATAGACTCTTCCCTTTTCATAAAGATTCTCAGTGTTATTTGTGATTACTTGGTGCTAAGTAACTTTAACTAGTATGTTCCAATTTATCTGTTTGTTAACCTGATAAACAGTGTTCATTATGTATGTAAAGTAATTTTAAGAGGAGTAGATTTGTACTAATTATCAATGTTTTGGATGTGCTTATTTTTCTATCAAATTAATTAGTCCATCTGCCTTCTTAGAATCTTTTCTTCATCTATTCTTAGATATTTATTTCATTGTCAGTTAAGAAAATAAGTGTTTTTTAATTTGTTTGTTGGCAAGCATAAGAAATATGTGTAAGTAAATTGCCTGATTGAAATAAAAAATATTTGTAAAAGAATTAGCATATCCATTTAAACTATAGAGATATATACTTCATCATCAGTCATAAAATATTTTCAATAAGGCTATTCTTGAATGAATTTCACTTGTTCTAAACATAGCCAAAATATGTAGGATCACAAGCCCACAACAGATAGTTTATTGTTTAAAAGTGCTAAACATTGGTGGTTTTGGGTCTTTAAATCACAAATATATATCACAGTTTTCCTCAACACCATTGATGCGGGATGTACGGTGTTATAAAGTTTCTCCACTAAGTAGATGGCGTGAGTTAGAATTGACGCTGATTGTAAGCCCCTGAGCTCAAGTAAACTCAATAACTTTTTGGATCTCAATTGCTAACTTTCCAAATCTCAAGTTCAAGTTATTAGTAGTGTGTGATTTAGGAATTTACATTAACTCAACAATCAGACATATTTCTAATGTGATTGAGATTGAGTGATAGAGATTGTGATAGTCAACTGACAAATGGTTCTAGGCCTGAGGTGTTACAAATAATATTGAGGCACATACTAATTTGATGACTCAGGTTTAGTGTGATCTTGGACATATTTGACATTGGATTTGTTACAAATAGTATTATGATTTATAACTGTAACGTGACCTTAATGAGAACTTTAAGGATTGCATGATGGAAATTATGGTGTTTCAATCCTACAATGAAAAGATATGTGATGTTGAGTTTCAAATAATGATCAATTCACGTGCTACTAACAAATTTCTCTTTGAGTTATTGAGGGTAACTAGTTTGGGGCTTAAAAGTTGCTGGCCCGAGAGTGTTTGGGTTTGAGGCATTACAAAATATATACATTTTTTTAAATTTTTGTTGGAAAAAGTAATTCCAAATAGTAAAAGTATAAGAGGAGATTGCAATATGCAGTATTCTTTTTTGTTATTTTGACAGTGCCTGCAACTTATGAAGGGATGTTTTTTTACCAAACAAGCTGCTATAAGTGCATTTTTCAGGTAAGAGTTGTTTATATGATCATTTTTACCGAACATAGCAATTGCTTATTTAAATAAATACCTAATTACTTCAAATAATTTATAGCACCTGGTCCTTTTTGCACATTTTCCGGCTATCACGAATACCCTTTAAGTCCTACGGTTACCTTAAGCACTTGGAAAGACCAAAGGATCTTGCTTTTGGTGGTTGTCTTGATGGATTTAAAGATAAAGATATACGCAAAAGCCAACTGCTGTTCTAATCTCGTTACTTCAAATAATTTAAAGCACGTGGTCCTTTTTGCATATTTTCCTGCCATCATGAATACCTTTTAAGTCCCATGGTTAGCTTAAGCACTTGGAAAGACCAAAAGAACCTGCTTTTTGGTTGCTCTTTTGATGGATTTAAAGGTAAAGATGTATGAAAAAGCCAACTGTTGTTCTAATGTAATGATTCCAGTATTCATCTTCTTTTAAAACACAAATTCTTATTGAATTAGATGAAGGTAGATTCTTGCTTTGTTATGTGATGGAATATAAGGATTTACACTAAAAGTGTACTATTTTCTTAAAATTCAGTTAGTAGCTAGTGCAATGTGGGTTTGAATTCGTAAAAGAAGAAGCATAGGTACAATTTGCAATTTCATATCATGATTAACAGGGTGCAGATTGGGAAAATAGAGCTAACTAATTCATTCGTGTAATCTTGTTCTCTCATATCACGATAACAAACTCTTTCAGTTGGATTATTTATTCATTTCTCAAATGTCTGAATTTGGAACTGTGGTTTTTAAGTTATTTCAGTCTTTTCACAGGCTTCATTGGCTTTGAAATTATGCTATAGAGCATCATGGACTTGTGTTGTACTTCTATGCAAGATGTTTGAGCATACATCACAGGAGTCCCAAGAGGATCTGTCAGAAGAAGCTATTACTAACTTTGTCACTGAGTCATGTACTCGGTGTGCATTTTTCTTGGATGTTCTCCACCAATGTGGTGATCATAAGATTAAAAAAGTCATTGTAGGCTGTCTTGAAAATTGGTGCATGGCTGGAAACTTGTTCACTAGGGTGCCTGCTCCCATGCCTATTGTAAAACAATGGATCAAGGTAACATTTGTATAAGTTTTTTCTTTCCTATTTTTCCTTGTTTCTGCTTTCTAATTGTTGTTAATTGTCAGATAGTAGGCAAACTTTATAAGGATTCAAACTTGGGGGTTGATGATTTGAGTTTATATTCGTTGCTGTCATCTTCTACTGAAGTGTCAAAGAAGATGGGAATAATTTTAGAACAGGTTTGTCCACTTCAAATAATTTTCTTATTTTTACTTAGAATGAAATTCAATTACACTTATGTGTGAGTTTATTTGTCTAGTTTGCTTATTATTAATAGCTATTTGCTTATATTTTTTATTGAAATTTGTTGAGCAGGAGCTTCTTGCATATGAAGATATTTATTCTCTCGATCCAGAATTATGTAAATTAATGCAAATAAAAATATGTGATATTCTTTTGAAAGATGTATATACAACAAAGGATTGTTGCTTAGACAAATTAAGAATTTTACTTAAGAAAGGAAGAGCATTGAAGGCTTCAGGGATTGAACATTTGAAGGGCTGTATTCAGTGTTTATCTGAAGCAATTTCTCTATTGGTAATTAGATTCTACTCATGCATCTTTTCACCTTCACTGCTTATAAATATTTGCTTGCAAAGTTTCTTTCCATTTTTTTAGTGGCTTTCATAACTTGTAATAGTCAATTAAACAGAATGATGCTAATTGTGCAACTCATAGCATTGGAACCAAATCTCATCATAATTTAGCTGCTGCCTATTGCCTACGAGCATTCTGTTTACAGGAAGCTGAACCCAACTCAGAGGTGAGAATGTATTAAAAGCTAGTGTAAAAAATGAGCAAGTTGTTAGCTCTTTTGCTATTCTGTCAATATTTTGTAACAGATAATTGTTAGACCTTTTATTATCTCTTCTCTTACGAGCAGCAAGTCCTTCAAGATATTAGTTCTGCCTTAAATCTGTGGTTGAGCATGCCGGAGCATTGCTATTCAGATGTCGAGTGCAAAATTGTGCATGAACATACAATAATGTTACTCTACAATGTAATTGATCTATTGTCTATCAAGGTATATATTTGTACTGATGTTTTTTCTGAAATAATCTATTTGTACTATTTTAATATATTGCACCAAAATTTAACCATTGCTCTATATTAATGGCATTACTTTTATTCAGGGTGACATTCAACATCACAATGACATTTATAAGGTGGTCTTTAGATTATTCAAATGGAAGAATGTTGAATTGCAGAATGGACTGACCATGTTATGGGAATGCAGAAGGCTAACTCATGCTCTTTGTGTTTCACCCATAAATGAGGCATTGATTCTGAACTTATCAGAGCACTGTGGTGAACATTTAAAGTCTGTTGATTTCTGGATTGATTTACTAAAGGGATCCCGTCCATTGCTAGTTGGATTAAAACAAAATCTACCGCTTTTACCTCTTAACTTTTCCCAAAATTTATCAAATCATGAATATCCTCTTCGATCAGAGATCACTGTTGGTGATGTGAAAGAAGCAGCTTCTGAACTCATTTCTAATGTAAGAACCTAGTTTTTTATTAGAAATAATTATTTCTCTGATTTAAAAAATTAAATGATATATTTTTTTACTAATCTCATTGAAGGTTCCTCTATCCAATCAATCTGCTTTTCTTGTGGGATATCTCTACTATGATTTGTGTGAAAAACTTATCTCATGGGGTCGACTCTCTGAGGTAAATCTTCTTAGATTTTGCTTTCATATTTATGGGATAGAAAATTATTGTTGTCCTGAAAAATTGGACGCAGCTTTCAGACAATATATATAACATGTGGCACATTTTAGCTTCTTTGAAGCTATTATGCAATCTGCAACTTAGAAAGCACTTGGTAGATGTTTTTTTATGAAACCAACCGGCACTGAAAGGATCTCCATATGTTTATTTATTTTACTTCTTGTGGTTACTTGCCATTTGGACAAGTTGAGCTTTCTCTCAACTGGTTAGAATACACAGCTTCATTATTTTGGGACCATATTTATTATTCTTTAATTTAGCAAAAGTACCCAAGTTGACAGAATTTGACTGTAGAAAGGGTTGGCTGCAGAACTTTTTTAGGGTTATAATCTGCAGGAAGAAGGTTAATCCAACACTTGAGTGGGTATTCACACCTAAAACTGGTAGACAAGTCAAAGTAAACGTAAGGATAGTTTAATAATTGGCCACTTGTCTGAAGAAGTTATGGGGGAGACATAGAGGAGACATGTTGAAGGTGCATATATTTTCGTTATAAGCTGGCTGCCTTGTTGTTGAGCCTTTGGTGTGGATTGATTTAATGCAGCATGCAAACATTTTTTCCTTGGGGTCAATGTATTAGGCTTTAGCTTGGGGTTTTGATTTATATTAGGATTGGTTAAAGATTTCTGTTTTTCCATTAATTTGCATGAAAAATTACTTACAACCTTAAGTCCTCATCTTTTGTATTACAATGTTAATTGCTTATGAATTTTTCCTACTCTCTAGGCTCTTTCATATGCAAAAGATGCCCATCGGTTGCGTACTCAGCTCTTTCAAGAGAAATTTAAGTATTCTGTCGAGCAGCAAGTTGAAAAGTGCAATGATTTTGGAAACGATATTGAGAAGCATATGTACAATCTTACAGATTTCCAAGTGTCCAAGTCAGTTGCTTGTGTAATGTGGTCCTTTGAGACTGTTTTGAGGGATGTGAATGGTTGTTATCTTAGTCCCTGGAATGTGCTTCAATGTTATCTGGAAAGCACTCTTCAGGTTGAGTTATCTTTCTTTTCTCTTGAATCTTCTTATCAAAGTTTTACCTACAAAATCCATTTCCTTCTATTAATACATTGAACTATAAGATATATTTTATTACTTATATCATTGGCAGGTGGGAGTTATCAATGAATTGATTGGAAATGGCAAGGAGGCTGAAACCCTTCTTCTATGGGGAAAAACCATCTCATCCTTGCAAAGCTTATCACTATTTACAGTTGCATTTTCTTCTGTTTTAGGTCTGAATATACGTAATTGTTATTTATTTTCATAATTATCTCATCATTAGTTGTTATTTTTCTAGTTGGTTGAGAAGAGATGATGATAACTTTGTTCTTTACTTTTAAATTCGTTAGGGAGACTGTACCGTAAGGAACATCTTTGGGATTTGGCAGAAAAAGAGCTCCTAAATGCCAAACAAATATTGGTAAAGAGCGGCAAAGATTTTTCTTGCCTGAAGTGTAGATTGATACTCGAAGTCACTGTTGATCAACAGCTTGGTGATCTACATCGAAGTCATTTTGATAGCACTCACAGGAGTTCTACAATAGAGAGATTATCATATGCCCAAAGCCTATATAAGTCAGCCTTACACAACCTAAATCAGTCCGAATGGAAGAACCCTGTTAGTTGTCCTATAGAGGCGAGCGATGGTGGCATTAGAAAAGCTTGTTTCAAGAGTGTTGATAACTGTTCTGAGGTCTCTTCCGATTTTGAAAGAATTCTGTCAGATAGAAGAGAATCAGCAGAGGATCCAGAAAGAGAGATGGATGGTAGAAGACATAGGAAAACTAGGGGTGCATCAAAAACTTTGATAAAGGAGCAACGTTTGGTAAATCGTTCCACGCGTCAATCCTCAAAGGACCAAAATATACACAGTTCTTTTAACATGAAAACTGAAAACATAAAGCAATTGACATCTAGTAATATCTCTAGCAGTTATGTTAAATCTACCTCAAGGGAGTTACCGTTGGAAGTAAAGAATCCAACTAGTGATGCTTGCATTTGCGACAAAATGATGTGTTGGCTATGCCTTCGAAAAGAAGTTATGGAATCTGGTCTACTAAGCAATTACATTAGTTTGAAATGGGAGATTGTTCGTAGGCGGCTTTCCTTGAGGGTGCTCAATGGCCTAGTATGGATGAAAAAGCATGTTATAGCTTATGCATGCATAAAAAACACTAAGCTAGTTAAGTTGTCATCTGATATGTTCTTGTAAAATATGTATGTACTAATAAAATTCTCGGTAACTCGTTTCAAAATTGTAATGCCATGAAGAACTAGAATTTCTAAAAATTATCTATCATTGCCCCCCCTTGCCATTATGGAATTAATTTAAAATCTATTCCTAACTCTATAATTGGATCCCAAATTTAAACATTATTCCTTACTTTGTAATTGGGTCTCAACTGTAATAATGGAAGTAGGAGGAAACTGAGCTTGTGACTCCTTTAAAGGATAGTTGTAAATTGGAAAAAGAAAAGTAGTAACAACTGAAAAATTGAATTTTACTCCTTACTGGTTTTTATTTGCATTGGCTGCATGATTATCTCCATTGTATATTTGAGTTTCTTTTTTTGTGATTATAGTTTTGGTGTTCCTCCTTCCTGGACTTTCAGGAAAATGCTTGGAAAGTTGTGGCCAAACTCATCAGGCACATGATTTTATCTTGCAAAGTATTTCCACAATGTTCAGCAGAAATGCTTTCTATCACAGTTACTCTTCTTCTTTGGTATTGCTTGATTTGATTGAAAAGGAGTTCACTGGAGATGTATTCACCATTGAACGTGCAACGCTGCTTTATAATATCTGTTTGTTATCCCTAAAGGGTTACCATTCCAAGAATATAAGGTATTTTAATGTTACAAGTGGTTGGCTCTTGTATATTGTTCTCTACTTGTCATACTACTATTTTCAAGCGAAATTATACACTGGTTTTTCCTTTTCCTTAAATCAAAGAATTATAATCCTGAACAATTTAGAAGGAACTAAAATATTTTGGATTTGATTTGCAGGCATGTGAACTAACTCCCTTTTCTCTTCATTTTATTTTTTTCACCAGGACTACATGCTGTAATGTATTTAATATTGAGTTAGAAAAAGTGGCAGGTTGGTTGATGTTAGCCTTTGTTCTTTGCCGTGAAGTTCCCATGCTTTTCCAAAAGGTAAGACCTTTCTTTTGCTTTGTCTGTTGCAATTACTAATTTCTTAAAAAATATTGTAGCTCTAGAGGTTCCTACATACAAGCTTGATTATAAATGCTTGATGATGGTTCATCTTTTATTTTGTCTATTGCAATTACGAATATTGTAGCTTTAGAGGTTCTTGCATACAGGCTTGATTATAAATGCTTGATGATGGTTCATCTCAAATGTATTAGTGGTTTGCCTTAATTTAGGAAAAATAGGCAAAGATAAATATTTAGGATATTTACTCCATATTAATGGCAGGACTAGTGCTCTATTTCTTATATCATGCTATAAATAGCACACTTGTGTTCATTGACAAGATATCCAAGCCAACATCTTAAAAGAAAAAAAAAGGATGTTTGAGACATTTTGTCTCTTGTTGTATATTGGCATCCCGTTTTAGATTTAGGAGTTGGGCAGTGATGATTTTACCCGAAATTTGGTGGGTCAGAAATTAGTAGATGTTTAAGGGAGTAAAAACTTCTGCTTTTGCCTTACTATCTCATAACAAAGGAGCTTGTGGGAGTTCCAAGATGTTAGGGACTTGTTAAAACTCACTTTGGAGGAAAGGAGTAGTGACACGTGCTGGTTGGAACCACCTGGAACTTGAATTTACAACAGATGCAACAATGTCAAATGGAAATTGAACCACCCTTCGGGTTATCTGCAAGAAAGCTTTGGAGCGTTGATGTTTCTTGGTATGAAAAGAGTCCCTAATATGGAGAATATTACTACTGTAGAATGTACATCATGTTCATATGTATATTCATATCATATGTTATGATTTGAATATATCACGCTAATTCATTATGTATAGATGATGAGATTCTATTGATACAGAACTAATTCTAATAGACTTATTGGAAAGTATCATTAGTGTGCATCTAGTAGGGATTGAATCTGCGAATTCATCAATTATGAGTTGAGTGCTTTAACCATTTAGCCATAAATGCTTAGCAGGGATCCTCATATATGGTGAATAACCAAATTTTAATATAAATGAAATCTTTAGAATAAATCAATGCAATTTATAAGAAATCAATGAAAAGACATCAATTCAATTCTTGAATTTTTGAATTAAAAGAAATATTGAAAGAGATCAAGAATTCTCAGTATTTCTTAGATTCATGAACCCAATTCAATTCAGTGGGATTTTTCATTCACATTTTTCTTGCTTTACTACTCAAGTTGCATTATATACTCATCACCAATACATGGCAGGATTCATCATGACAAGGGCTTTTGCTGATGGAGTTATATTTTTTTTATTAAAGATTACAATTCAAAACAGAATGAAGATAATGTATTTGCAATAACGTTAGATCATAAGTAAGTTATCATATCCAATTTAAGTTGGGCCAACCTCTTTCTTGGGTTCCATACTTTGAGACTTTATATCCATAACGATGTCATGCTTGATTTTGTTGGGAAAAATTTGGTGACTTATATCAACCAAACATAATAAAGGATTTTGAGTCTTTTGTTAATCAGTCGACACCCAGATTTGAACTAAGAAAAAAGGCGTAATTGACTCTTCTATTGTGACTTGATTTATTTCTTTTTAACAATTATATCTTTTTACCTGATTTACTTTTTTTTAACACTTATTTACTTTTTTTGTGACTCTCCTCAAGTTGAGGGAATAGATGTTGTTCATTATCAACTTGTTAATGAGAGTTTGGAATGTTGGATTGTTTATGCTTTTAGTTTACACGTATTCTAGTTGAGAATTGGTGGATATGTATGGCGTACATATTAGACTACTGTTTAAGTTTTTCTTAAATAAAATATCTGTCAATCTCAATATATTTCGTTTGGTTATGTTGCATTGGATTGCAAATGATATTTTTGACCAACATATTATAATATAACACATAATTTTTTCATTTAATTTTTAAGATCTTCCAAAATTATTTTTGTCCATAATAGTTCACATATCTTTAATACCATTGTTTGAAATTCTAATTCTACATTTAATCTTACAATTAGATTTCGTTTTTTACTTTTTTAAGTAATTAGATTGTCTTTAAGGAAGGTACAATAATTTGTACTAGATTTTTTCTCTACAATTGACCCTACTTAATCTATGTTAATATAGACTTATAGGAGCAATTTATCATTCTTGCATAATATAGTTCTTTTTTATGGTGATCTTTTTAAATTTTGAAATTGGCTACTTGTAGTTTTGCTCTTTTCAGCTTATGCATATATGGATATATAACACTTACTGCATAGACAATGTCGGATACTATGTGGGATAGATAGATCAACCTTCCAACTAATGTCCAATACATTTCCTTGTTTGCTGGTTGAACTATCAATGGAGTGAGGTTCTAGCATGACCCATCTCTTGCTTTCTTCTAATGTTACAATATAAATTACTTCATTAAGCTATGACATTTTCACTTTTTTCCAACATTTGGATTCTTACTTGACTATACTCCAGGTTCAATCTAGCCAAAAATTGATTTGCACAATATTTTCCTACAAGTTTTTTAAAACGGACTGCATCTTTGTTGTAATCTATGGTTGGACTGTGGTATTGGCCTAGTTCTTGCAACCAATTTTTTTGACATATTAGACTATTCGTTTACTGACATATTGATTATGTCTTCACTATCAAGTCATAAATTTGCGCGATGTCTTTGATTTTGGAATATGTTTTGTCGATTGCATTCTACAATAGAGGCACAACTATTACTGTGGAAAGGAACATTACAATTTTACTTATTTCTGGAGGCATGAGTTCTAGAGATTTTTTATGATAATAAAATCATTTTTATTTGAGAATTTAGGGTCTCTAAGTGTTGCTCTAATAATTAAAAGGTGGTTAACCTTCTCTTTTCCTTTAGAGTGATTTGAATTAATTAATGCTAGCTCAGATAGTTTTTTCTTGTGTATCGGCAGATAGTTTGAATTGACTGAAATTCGCAAGTGGAATTTTTCATTTGGGAATATGCTCCACTATTTTGAGATATTCTCTGAGATAGTTTTTTCTTGTGTATCGGCAGACAGTTTGAATTGACTGAAATTCGCAAGTGGAATTTTTCATTTGGGAATATGCTCCACTATTTTGAGATATTCTCTGACATCCTTTAAACACTAAATGATAATTAATGTCAAAAAGGAAAAAATTATTGAAAATGTTTTACTCAGAACACGTGACTGCGTGAGACAAACACTAGTTCTTCATTGAGTCAACTTTCTGAGTTAGCTTGGACTTGAAACTCCCTGACTTAACTTAGTAATTCCTTACTTTTTGAGTATAGAGGCATGACAAACAGATCAAAATTAGATATAAAAGATTGGACTAGTAGCTAATATGCACAAGTCAATACGTAGAGAGTCAACTAGAGTTCTAGTAATTGTGTTTGGCATTAAAGTTGTACAATAGATCACATTTGACAATGGTGTCGCGTCTGACAACGAATACTGCAAACGAGATGGACAGATGGTGTCATGTCCTTGTTTGGTTTCTGGTTGCGAGTGGGCTATGACTATGTTTGGTTACGGTAGATGATGTCATGGTCGCAGCATGTCTTGTTAGGTTTTTGCATGATAGAGAGGAACACGATTAAAAGATGGGTCATCCGTGACTAAAAGAGCATATGAGGGGTTTTGGTGCCAACGATGAAGATTGGTTTGGCTTCTACTGTTAGCCGACAATGATGGGTGATCTACAATGGGCAATTGTGAATGCTGACCTAGCCCTTCTAGAGTTTTCCTTATCTATTTTCGGTAACGAAAGCCGAATAGTGTTCGTAAAAAAGTCAAAAAATTTTTAACCTTGTGCTTTGATACCATTTTTTGAAATAAAGATGTTAAAGTATTGATATTAACAAAAATACCAAGGAAGTATCACCCGTATACAAAATATGTATATGTCAATTAGAAGGTCAATGACATTGGTAAAATCATTCAGTTTATTAATGTCATGACCCATAATCAAGTAGGTAAAAGTGTGAAATCATCTATTTTTAATATTAACAAAGCTGCTTTCAATTCTTTGAAAAGCTCTATCATTTCTCTTCTTTCACACAATCCAAAAAATCAATGAAGGAATTAAAAAAAAAAGTTTTTTACATAAACTCGCCCAACGCCACAACTCATTTATCAGATCTTGCTATCACCCAATTGATCCCAAAGAGATCGTACACCATAGTCCAAACAGTATATACTATCAGGCACCAAAGTAAGATGTGATTACAAGATTCTGCGTTCATCTTATACAAAAAGCAATGATTAACTAGTATTTTGCCTTTTCTCCTCAACCTGTCAATAGTCAAATACATTCTCTATTCGTTTCCCAAGTAAAAAAGGCAATTCTAGGAGCCACCTTTGTCTTTCAAATCTGTTTAATCGAAAATGGTTAGTATCATGATCGTTGCCCATAGTCAAATACTTATAGAAGATCTTAACAGGGTAATCCCCTTGTTTCCTCAATTTTCACATCAATGTCCCTGCAATCCTCAAGATGAATATGAGATAATAGGATAACAAGGCTTCATATTCTTCAATTTCTCAGTCATTGAGATTTCTTGTAACGTTCACATTTTATCTCCTACTCCTATTGTCCAATAAATAAGCCTCCTCCACCACCATATATTCTTTAATGACACAATAACAAAGATCCTCGGAAATTGATCTTTAAGTCTACCTTTACCAATCCATTCATCATGCCAAAAACGAATTCTGTTGCTCTTATCCACCTTCCACCACATTCAATAAATTTGTGTTTTCCCATACTAATTTTCTTCCATAAACCCCTACCATGTGGACTAGTTACCTCCCTGACTTCCATACCCACTTCCCCTATACCTCAACAAGTCTCTACAATCCTTTTTCATAGTCTCATATCTTACCTCATATCTCCACAGTCATTTTACCTTGAAGCGTGATGTTCATCTCAATAATAGTTCTTAGCCTAAGACCCCCCTTTCTCTGCGGCTTCTTCACCTTCTCCCACATCACTAAGT